TTGACTTCTTGGTACTTTGTATATGAATCAAATGTTTTCCTATCATGAGCATGATCATATGCTAATTTTAAAAATCAATCCAGTTTTCGAGTTTGCTGCTAGTTAGCTATGTTAGTACTTTTGTGTTACTGTGGTGGATTTCTCTCCTCCAAGGCTCTGATTGAATAGCCCTTAGGAAATTATTTTAGAAGAAAGTTTAGTCCTATTCAGGCTACTCTTGATATTACTAGATGGGATTCCCTCACCTAGCCAATTGATAATACTTGCTCTGACTCTGGCCATAAAAATGAATTTTCTGAACTTCTCTGATGTTCCATTAGTTAAGACTCCACACTTCCAATGCTGGGGTCATGAGTTCTATCCCTGATCGGGGAACTAAGATCCTACAGATGAGCACAGGCAAAAAAGAAAAAAAAAAAAAAATTTCCCTGTAAAGTTACTCAAGTTAATCAGAGTAACAAGCAAAAGTTCAGCCAAGGAATAAAATCTGCCACAATTATGGAATGGATTTATGAGGTTAACACAAGGCTATGGTCATTTAAGTTTTAAGGTCCCTATTTTCTTGGGATCAGTTAAATTATACTAAGGATAACCAGCCTAATAATACTAGGAAATTGGCCTGGGAGCCTTATGGACAGTGCCAATATATCCTTTCCCTGAAAGATAAGGCTTGGAACAGAGCAGAATAAGTCAGATGACCTGGAGATGCACTGGACTATACCTAATGAAAGTTCTTGGCTTATGACTTTAATAATACTGCTGTTGTGTTTTGTGTGTAAGTCACTCAGTCATGTCTTACTCTTTGTGACCCCATGGACTGTAGCCTGCCAGGTTCCTCTGTCCATGGAATTCTCTAGGTAAGAATACTGGAGTGGGTTGCCATTCCCTTCTCCAGGGAATCTTTCTGACCCAGGGATTGAACCTGAGTCTCCTGCATTGCAGGCAGATTCTTTACTGTCTGAACCACCAGCCCAAAAGTACTGCTATCTGTGTTATGCTATGTTATTTGGATTTGCCTGCTTTACAAGATTATTGTTTTTTGCATTACCAGATGTGTGACTGAGCCTCTGACAAAATATATAGTTCTATATGTGGCCAATGATTGTAATGGTATAACTCTAGATGTGGGTAGATACAATAAGAGGGTTTTTTTTTTTTCTTTCCTGGATCATAATAGACTAGTAAGACAGGTGGTCTGGAGACCTTTGACTATTGTTAAATAAGATCTAGTCCAATAGTAGCACATTGAGTGGACTATTAGCAAAATCTTCACCAGACCTAGGAATGAGCCTTTCTAGCACCATGGGATGAAATGGTCATGAAATGCCTCCCAAAACATGATCAAAGTTATAACCATGAAGGAGCCCTGTAACCTACAAATTGGCATTTGTCATGGGCACTTGCCATCTACCTCTACAAGGATTAAATCATGTGCTACTGCAGCAGCTGATTTTCAACACCCCCTGAAAGGAATTCAGGGTGGAGAGCAGAGATGAAGCATTCTGTGCCCTGGGAAAAATTGACAGAACAGATCTTCAGATATTTAGGTATTTTTAGAAGTCAGTTTTATGAGCCCAGTTCTTGTATTACCTCATATCTAGAAAAGCACAAAAATTCTTAATGGTGATGACTACTCCTTCATGAGTAGCAGAAACCTGCAAAAAGTAAGTGTTTGATTGCATGTACTTCTCCTTCACCAAAATCACATATATACTGACCTTCCCCACTTTGGAGTAGTTTCTCAAAGCTATCTGAAATGCTGTCTCTCAGGCTATAGTCCTCATTTTGCTGCAAATAAAACTTAATTACAGCTTTCACATTGTGCATTTTTAAGTTGGCAAATCTTTGAGATCTAAGACTTTGATTCTCCCCCTGTGTTTTTTTTTAACATTGTTATTTTATTTTATTTAATATAAATTTATTTATTTTAATTGGAGGCTAATTACTTTACAGTATTGTAGTGTTTTTTTCTCCCCTGTGTTTGAAGATCTCCCTCATACTGAGTAAATGTTTATTGAGTTGAATCAAATAAAAAGATGTTGAATTTTGTTTCCGCTTTAATCTGATTCATTTGTTCTGTATCATCTTCTGGAATTCCATGTAGTTCATATTTGGAGTTGAAAACCCTCAATAAAAGCCAAACTATAAAGAGCTACCAGAGTCAGCACATTATTATAGCCATCTAATTTGCTCGGAATAGAAGATTATGCATTTAGGGCAATAAATTCTGTTTTAAACATGAAATTCTCATAGTTCTTTTATTTTCAGGAGACTAAATAATTGGGAAATAGAATTGTTCACAAAACTCCAGTTGATACTTCTGAGAAGGCAGAGGATGAAAAAATCCAGATGATATATTAATGACTGAAAGAAATTGGCTTGAAGTACTGAAGATAGTTTTGATAGTTTTAGTGATAGAACATAACCCACTTCAAAGGCCAAAGTTGGGAAAATAATTCTAACTCTGACGGTGCAAATAAAATTTTCAAGTGAAGATTTAAGTGCTCATTGTACATAATCTGATTTCCTTAGTTTCTTGTTTGGCTAACTTTGATGGAGCAGCTGCTTCATGCCTAGGCCCCTAAGTATGATCCTCTGAGTATGTATGGAAAGGCAGACATACTTTTTTCAAAATGCTACAGAAGCCCAGAGGAAGAAATTAGTTGGAAGAACCTAACTTTGAACTGGGATGACTAGAACTGTCTAGCAGAAGGGTAGAGAGAGTGTATCCCAGGCCTGTTCACAGGTTTGGAGATTTGAAAATGCAAGATTTGGTGAATGGTGGTCCTGGGTGGGTAGAGGGTAGATTATTTTGTTGTGCCTGGGTGGAGGGGCAGAGTCAGTACACAGGTGACAGTAGATTGGATCAAAGTTTAGAAATACTTCCAATGCTGTGCTCAGGAGTTTGAAATTTATCCTGCAGAATATGAGTTTTAGCAAAAGATTGTGTGATTATATTGCACTTTAGGTAGATCATCCTGGTATTACTTTGAGTTGAGTGATGGAGGGACCAGAGGCGAGGAATCCTTAGGAAACAGTTGTAGTTAGTGTGGGTAAGAGATGTTTAGTGCTGCAACAGGGACCATGAAAATGGATAGGAGAGGTCATATTTAAGAGCTGTGACCAATTTAATTTGCAGTTTTAATTAATTGTGCATTTAATTTACAGTTAAACTTTTCTTTCCTTTAGACCACTTCTGAATATGAGCATTAACTTTGTATTATAACATCATATTCATTTTATGTAAGACACAGGCTGAGAACAGATTTGCTGCCTTCTTGTCTCACAAGCATCACATGCTGACTGTACCTGAGATGGAACTTTGATTTTACTTCACTCCCACTGCATTCTTCTTTTTGGCACTACCATCCCCTCAGTTATTCAGGCCAAACACCTATATCATCCTTGATCTTTCCCCTCCCCCTTAGATCTCCCTCATTCCCAGCAGCAAGGCATATGGATCCTATGTCCAAAATATATTTTGAATCCGCTTCCTTCTCTCCATCTCCACTGGCAGACTGCCTCCACTGTAGTCCAGACCACCACCACTTCCTATCTGGACCATTTCAACAGCCTCATAACTCTCTCCCCACCTAAGTTCTTGCATCCCAGCCTGGCCACTGCACATTGTTGTAAGAATAATCACAAATCAAACTTTCACTTTGCTGTTTAATCATTTCAGCGAGTTCCCGAATTCCTTAGTTTGGCTTGCATGGTCTTGTCCCTGCCCAGTTTTCCAATTTCATTTCATGCTATTCTCCCCCCATTAACTGTACTCTAGTAACTGGTCCTGTTTTACTTTCTTTTAACATAACAAACTGTTTTCTCCCTTATGATCTTTGCAGCTTCCTCTTTGAATGGCTAGCTCTTTTTGTTCCATTAATTGGGTCTTAGCTTAAATTCACTTGCTCAGAGACATCATTTCTTGAGTGCTTTACCTAGAGTAGGTTTCTCTTTTTGTTTGTTTTCTAATACTTGCAATTATTTTTGTGTGTTTACTTCTTTTTCTCCTGGAAAAATAAAAACTCAGTGAGGACTGGGACTGGGTCTCACTTGTTCACCATTAGACTCCCAGTATCTTGAACAAGGCTTGTCATGTGGCAAGCAGTCATTAAACATGTATGAAATGATAGAAGGGAAGGGAAAGGAAAGGAGAAATGGATAAGATGTGTGGGAGAGAGGAAGAGAAAAGGAAGGAGAAAGGGTAGGGAAAGAAGGAAAGAAAGGCTTTGCTTAACTGAGCAGCTGCTAGGCTCTTGACTCCATCAAAAGTATATCCATCTGGTGTTTGTTGTTCCAGTCCTAGGCCAACCACTACCAGCATGCTTGTATTATTTCAGAGGAATTACAAATCCTAAGGCACCTTCATCTTTCACAAAACCTTGAGTCATCTAACGCTTGATCCTCTGCGGCTTGTGATAGTCATGATTGTCATTTTTTACCATGGACTAGGATCTCTGCTAGGTACCTTCTCCAGGGGATCTTCCCAATCCAGGGATCGAGCCCAGGTCTCCTGCATTGCAGGTGGATTTTTTTACCAGCTGAGCAACAAGTGAAGCCCATCTGACTGACTAGGCTATCTGAAATAAACCACCCAACATGCACAAATATGCTTTCTTTATATTCCCTTAACCTGCTTTATTTTCTTTATAGTAACTATATTCTTCCTTTTTTTTTTTTTTGCATATTCATTGTCTCCCCCACTGGCACAGAGGCTTCATGAGGGTAAAGTTTGTTGGTTTTTCATATTTTGAAGACAATACTTACTGCCTAGTGAGCACCCAGTATTTGTTGAAAAAATAGGAAGAAAATCTTGTGGGTTTTTTTTTTTTCAAGTTTTTTTTTTTGACAATACCAGCTTCCTTTAGGTAAGAGTCACAGCATCTCTCTTAGGATTTTTGAAAATTATTACATTTATACAACATTTACTGTATAAATGTTAAAAAAAAAAACCTAGTACCTGTGTGACTCCATGGATTGAAATTGATTATTTTCCACAATTCTTTTAAAACTCATCAAATTGAGGCTGCTCCAAACAGCTCTGCAGTTGATTAATTTAAGGTAGATCTTGTCTTTATGGAGATTGAGAAGAAGCTTGAAGATACAAGTATGATTTATGTAAATACTACCAGTAGGGCCCTGGGCTAGAGGAAGCAGATATAGATTTCAGGTGTTGCCATGAAGTGATACAAATTGAAAATTTATATCATATTGTCAGAAGATGTAAGTACAATTTATGTAAAATACTACCAGGAGGACGCTGAGCTAGAAGCAGCAGATATAGATTTTGGGTATTTCCATGAAGTGGTATAAATTGAAAATTTATATAATATTGTCAAGTATTCAGTGTATTTTACATTTTCCAGTGTCTGTTATAGCTTCCTTGTAATTCTGGTAAGAGTGTATTTCAGAAATTTATAAATCTTCAGGTTCCAGTTATGTAAAGTGATTCTAATTTATTTTGGTGTCATTAAAAGATTACCTAGAGCCATTCAAAAGAATAATACTTAAAGGAGCCTTAAAAGTGCCAATGGGTCTTTCCATGTGACTCAGCGGTAAAGAATCCACCTGCCAATGGCAAAGAATCCACCTGCCAAACAGGAGATGAAAGTTTGATCCCTGGGTTGGGAAGACCCCCTGGAGGAGGAAGTGGCAACCCAATGCAATATTCTTAGCCAGATAATCCCATGAACAGAGGAGCCTGGTGGGCTACAGTCCACAGGGTCACAAAGAGTCAGGCAGGACTGAGCACACGTGTATGCAAAGGTACCTAATACCAAAAGTCCTTTTAAAAATAAATTTTTTGTGCTTGAGTCTCAAAGTTTTAAAATCTGTTTTTCTTGTTTGAAAAATGAGCTGATTAAAAGAATCATACAGAAACATACAAAGAAGAAAAATTTAAAATCTCCTGAAATGACTCACTAAAGTGTTAACAGTGGTTGATATTCTTTCAGACAGCTCTCTGTGTATATGAACATACAATTTCACATAAGTAGGATCATACAATACACGTCGAGTTTTTAAATTTATATTACATATGTGGACCTGTGCTTATGTATAGTAATCAGTTTTTGGTAGATAATAATCATACTAGAGCAATCTAATAGTAACTCTTTCTCCAAAAAGAGAGTTGTTCTCTTCAGGCAAAATTAGACACAACTTCATAGTTTCAAACTTAAAGGCATCTTGGAATTTCATAATTGATTTTAATTTTGCGACCAACAAGGCACAGTTACAGCAAGAGTCATGTAATTCCAATTACCCATCTACAAAGCTAACTAGTGGGCTGAAATAAAATGATTCAAAACATTGAAGGTGTGCATTTCACTCATGTTAGTGGAGCAGTGTGAAGACAACCATTGTGCATATCTTGGAACTCCCTTATTGTAGCACAAAGGATTTCTTAGCATCTTAAGGTGATTGTGCTGTGGGTGTGATTGCACTGAATAGCTAATGTGCCTGACATGTCTTGACAAAGTACCCTGCATTTCTAGAATTTTCATAATGATCACCAGTCTTCCTCAGGTAGAGAGGGCCAGGGCTGATTGTTCCCAGCAGGCAGGCACTGGCCCAGCAGCTTGCAGACCTATCCTGCTGCCATCTTGCAAGGATATAATTGCATTGGTCTACCTGTTGTTTTACAACCAGCTTGTATTTCTTGATAGCATATTCCCTGCCCATAAATGTAAAACCTTATCATTGGTTTTAATGACCCCATAGTACACGTTTGAATATAGGTATCATCTGTTTAACTAGCCTCCTCTGATGAACATCAGGTTGTATTTAAATCTTGCAAAAAATAAAGGTATAATAAATTTCCTTTTGCACTTATATTTAAGTACTTAATGCCCTTATCAGCTTAGCACAAATAATTAGAAGGGGGGATTGTTGAGTTGTGAGATATGTATGTCTAGCTTTTTTATGCAAATTGCCAGTATATCCACCAAAAGAAAGAGGTACTAATTTACACACTCAATGACCATTCATGAGATAAGTTTTTCTATCCACAGTGCTTTGTTGGCTGGCTTTTTTTTTTTTAATCTTTCTCAATAGTAGGAAATTATATTTCCTTATTGTTTTTAAAATTTCTTTTATTACAAGTGTCCATTAAAATGCAGTTGGACTCTCTAAGGCCTGAAAAAAGTTTTTTTCATGCCACCAATATTTGCCTGCAGAGTAACCCATAGAGGAGTTACTTCTACCAGGTTGTCCCATTTTTCCAACATTATTCTGTCCAAAACAAAGTTTAGAGAGTATCTGGTATGGCTGTATGTCAATGATTGAGTACTTCATTACTAGAATTAACAAACAGTGTTGTTTTTATTTCACAGTCTTTTTTAGCTTTGCAAATGTATGCCTCTTGCTCCCATTTTAGTTCTTCTCCCTTTATCACCTCTCTTGTGTGGACCTTGTCCCCTTATTTTTTTCTCTCCTTCCCACGATTGTCAGTTTCCTAAATGTTTGCAGCACTAGAAAGTGAAAGTATTGGAATCTTTTGTCAATTCATACATTTTCTGCTTTAGCAAAAGAAGCCTGGCAGGAGATTTTATTTCCACTTTTGTCTTCATTAGCAGTACCCCATTGCCCTTCTTTGAATTCTGTCTTAATTTTTTGTTCCTATTCAGTTTACCACAGGACCTACTCCTTGACCTTTTGCTACTCAGAAAGAAGTGCTTTTCTTCAAGCAAGGAGGCACTTAGAACTTTCTTAGTATTTGTGATCTCTAGTTTCGCAAGAGATGTGTAGTTTCTTTACCCTTTTAACTCTGTCCTCCTTGTCCTTTTCCTTACCCTCTCTCATTTCCTCTTCAAGTGAAAATGTTTTATTGACCAAAGGATATGATTTTTTAAGAGGATCTGTTGGTTCTCAAAAGTAACAGGCACTGCAAAATTAATCTACATCCATCTTAAGGAAGTGGGAAGAATTTCCAAGTATTCAGGTAGAATTCCTGAATGTTTGCTGCGTTTTCCTGCTCTAATTTGTTGCTGTCTGCCATAACTATTCCTGAGGTATTGTGCAAACAGATGGCATAAATGCAGCTGAAAGTTCATGGGTCATTGACTTCCAGAGGAGGTCTGGCTCTTTGGGTGGTCCAGCACACCAGTATTACTAATCTACTTTTCTAGATTACCTCCACAGAATGTTGAAGGATAAAGGATTTCAATGAATGTGGAAAAGACTTTGAACTTTCTTTTAATTTATGTATGGTGACAGAAACTATTTTTATGGGCTAAAGTTTGGAAGTATTGATGTAACCTAATTTGCCTTTGGTATGAAAAAACAGAAAGAGCATTGAATTTGAAGTTAAACCAACCTGAGATTGAGTTCTGGTTGTATTACTTTACTTGTCATGTGTCCCTGTTTCTCAGGGAATGTAGAGTTAAATGGGAAACCAGACAAGAAAAAATTTTCCCAGAAAAACAAAACAAACAAGAAACTTGCACATGGGTGTATGTGCAAAGAGCTATTAAAGTGTCCAGTAGAGACAGAAAAGCCTTTCCAAAGGACTTAGCATGTGAACTGAGTTTATGAAGTTGGGTGGGAATGAAGAATATTAATACCTGTCCAGCTACTTCCAGGGTTTCATGAAAAGTAAAGAAATAATGTTTATTAAAAAGTGCTTGAAAACTTTATAGCCCCCAAAAGATTAACATTGTTATCAATTTTTGATAATGTTAACTTAAAATAATTTGAGTGAGATCTTTTAAGGAAGCCAAAATAAGAGAATTTCTCTTCTTCACTTTAAAAATCTGACAGTCATTTTGGTTTCTTGATTTAACTAGAAAATGTTGGTAGTTGATTTCAGAACACTCACTTGTAAGATTTGCCTCAGTGGCTATTGAGATAAGTATGTATGTGAAGTTGCCCAGTTGTGTCCGACTCTTTCCGACCCCATGGGCACCAGGCTCCTTCGTCCATGGGATTTTCTAGGCAAGAGTACTGGAGTGGGTTGCCATTTCCTTCTCCAGGGAATCTTCCTGACCCAGGGATCAAACCCAGGTCTCCTGCATTGTAGACAGACAATTTATCATCTGAGCCACCAGGGAAGTTGAGATAAGTAGGCCTACATTAAATATTTTTATAATAGCTTCTTTGAAGTCCTAAGACTCAGGGTTGATTCTAGATAGGTTCAGGAGTGTTATCTATGTAGAAGAAAAAGATTTACACACCCACTAAGATGACTAAAATAAAGGTGAGTGAGTGAAGTTGCTCAGTTGTGTCCAACTCTCTGCAACCCCCATGGACTGTAGCCTGCCAGGCTCCTCCATCCATGGGATTTTCCAGGCAAGAGTACTGGAATGGGTTGCCATTTCCTTCTCCAGGGGATCTTCCCAACCCAGGGATCAAACCCAGGTCTCCCACATTGCAGACAGACTCTTTACCATCTGAGCCACCAGGGAATCCCAAAATAAAAGAGACAGACATAAATACTGGTAAGGATGTGGAGAAATTGGAACCTTCATTGATTGCTGATAGGATTGTAAATGTGGTGCAACCACTTTAGAAAACATTTTGATAGTTCCTCAAAAAGTTAAACATCACCTTATGATCCAAATTTCACTTCTAAATAATATGCCCAAGAGGAATTAGAGCTTATGTCCATGTCAAAACTTACACACAAAAGTCCATAGCAGTATTATTTATAATAGCTAAAAAGGGGAAACAGCCATCAAACATGAAAGGCTAAACAAAATGTACTGTGTCCATTCAATGGAATATTCTTTGGTCCTGAAAAGTAATTAATTATTGATACATGCTTCAGTGTGGCTGAACCTTCAAAGCATTATGCTAAGTGAAAGAAGCCAGTCACAAAAGAACATATATGTTTGATTGGATTTGTGTGAAATATCCAGAATAAGCAAATCAGTGAAGACAGAAAGTAGATTAGTGGTTGCCAGGGGCTAGAAGGAGGAGAGAATGGCAATGGTAGAGGGTTACTGTTAATGGATATGGGTTTTTTTGGGAGCTGTTAAGTATGTTCTAAAATTAGATAGTGATGTTAGAAGGAGAAGGAAGGAGAAAGGAAACCACCCTACAGAGATATGGATCTGAGGTTATTTTTCCAGTCTCATTTCCCAAGATCCAGAAGTAGTTGATGGATGAGATATTACTTGTATAATTCTTCATACAAACCCAGGAAATCAGTTAAATCACTTATCTTTAAATTCTGATTGTGAACCACTAAAAATATATGTGAAATTTACTTGCACACAGACAAAAATAAAATAGAAGAGTTAGGGTTCCTACATTTTGAGAGGCCAGAGTGAATTTTTCAGACATTATTAAGACAAATGAAGCCTATTTCAATAGAAAGTGCTGCTGTGCCACCCACTCCCCCATTCCCCTTGTCCTTCCACCGGTTGTATCCAGAAAGCCATTTTCATCAGAAGACCTGGGATGAAGGAGTTGCTGCCTAGTTGCCTTTTGGATTTTTCTGGGTGAAAGAGCCTAAGGGAGCCTGGGGACTTGCCTGCTGCCCAGCAGCTCACGTCATGTATCTATTTAAACATTTAATTTGGGGAGAAAGCCAGAGGAGTGAACTTAATATAACTCTGTTGTTTTTCTTTCCAGGAAGGAGAGCAGTTTGTGAAGAAAATTGGTGGTATTTTTGCCTTCAAGGTGAAGGATGGCCCTGGGGGTAAAGAAGCCTCCTGGGTGGTGGATGCGAAGAACGGCAAAGGATCAGTGCTGCCTAACTCAGGTCGGTGCAGTGATGACCTCGCTGACAAGCTCACAGAGGAAGATGGGGGCCTGCCTTGGTGGCCCCAGAAGGGCTGGCTTTAGAGTTGTAGAACCTTGTGAAGCACTGGGGAATCTTTGGGAATAGGACTAGGTCCCAGCTGCTTCTTCCCAAAGATTGAGAGGCTCCATCACTGTGGCTAGCCTTATGCTTTGGAATTAGACAAGCTTGGGTTTAGAGTCCTGGTCCTGCCACTCACAGATTTAGGCCTTAAAAAATTATTTCACTTCTCTGAGCTTTGCTTTTTACATTTGTAAATGGAAATAATAAATGGTTCCTATTTCATAGGATTCATCTGTAGATTAAGAGAAATAATGATCCCCTAATTAACCTGTGAAGCACATGGTTCAGTGTATGGCCACATGTCCTCAGAAGACCTAACTGTACCCACTGTCTCCACTTCATCTCATCCCAGGCTTTCTTGAACCTACTCCAGTCAGCTTTTGTCAGCTCATCATCATCCCATAACTGTTCTTGTCAAGGTCACGAGTAACCACTGCCCTGCTAACTTCAGTGGTTAATTCCCAGCCTTTATAACATCACTCTTCTAGGCTTTCTTCCTACCTGTTGGGTGTTCCTTCTTGGCCTCTCTTCCCATTTTTTTCCTCGTCTCTAAGTGTGTAAATGTTGGTGCTCTAAGGCTCAGTTCTATCTACATTCACTCCTTGGGGCTCTTATCTAATCTCATGCTTTTCAAACCATGTCTACACTGATGACTCCCAAGTATCTTCAGTGTGAACTCAGACATTGAACTCCAGGTATACATTCAGCTGCTTAACTAACGAGTTTACCTGTATATTTAATAGGTTTCTCAAAGCTAATACGTTTGAAACCATATTGATCTTCCTCCCACTCCCCTTTAATTGTGTTCTCCTTCCACTGTCTTCTCCATCTTGGTAAATTGCTCTTCTGTCTTACCAGTTCTTCAGTCTAAAATCCTGGAGGTCATGCTTGGCTCTTCTTTTTGTTTTTTTAAATTGGGGTATAATTGATTTACAATGTTGTGCCAATCTCTGCTATATAGCAAAGTGAATCATTTTACACATATATACCTTCTTTAAATGTTCCTTTCCATGATAGTTTATCCCAGAGATTGGATATAGCTCTCTGTGCTACACAACAGGACCTCGTTGTTTATCTATTCTAAATGTAATAGTTTGCATCTATGTTGCCTCTTCTTTTTCTCACACTCCATGGTCTCATCCACCAGCAAATTCTTTCCTCTACTACTGCCGCCTTGGTCCTCCATTGTTTTTGCCTGGTCTCTGTTTCTGACCTTGTCCTCTATGGGTTCTTCTTCACACACACCAGCTGGAGTGATCATTTTAAAACTCAATGTCAGATTCTGACCCTTCTCAGCTCAAAACCATTCAGTGACTTTCAACTCACAGAGTAAAAGTTAAGAGTTCTTACTATCACACCACATAATTGGCCCTAGTCTTCTCTTTCTTACTACATGTTCCTCACTTTGCTCCAGTCACACTGGCCTCCTTACTTGAACATGGGGGTGTTCCCAGTTCAGGAGCTTTTCTACTGCCTGGGATTATCATCTCTCAGCTAGCCTCATGGCTGGTCCCTTTATTTCCTTTGGATTTTTGCCCAAATGTCACCTGGTCAGTGAGACTTTCCCCGGCCACACTTATAAATCACACCTCATTACCATTCCCTATTGTCTTTTTCTGACATTTTTCTTTGTAGCATTTACCTCCATCTGATATACTGTATCTTATTTATTTGCTTATTGTCCGTCCCTCACTTGAGTTGTAAGCTGCATGAAGGCAGAACATTTGCCTCTTAGGTTCACTGCTGTATTCACAGTGCCTAGAATAATACCTGATACCTGGTAGGCTTTCAATAAAATAGATAATAAAAACGAACAGCAGAATGAATGAGTGATGCTTTGTAAGCATTCAGTGAATGGTAGCTATAGTGTATGCTATGTTTCTGTCCTTGGAGAGAGCCTGGTACAGTTAAGAGGGATAAGAACTAGCTTTTTAGAGGGCTATCCTATGAACTTTGAAAGTGATTTGATATATAATCTATCCATTAAAACTTTTTGAGTAGGAAAAAAAAAGTCAGAACTGCATTTTAGAGGATGAAGTTGCTGTATTAGACCTGATGAATTAGAAAGGAAGAAATCAGAGGCAGAGAGAGCAATTAGGAGGACGTATGATACCACCATCTAACTTAAGCAAAAAGGATAGTCCAAGTGTTGGCAGTAAGAAAAAAGGACGTTGTTATATGGCAGTTGCCAGGAGTGTTTGGAGTGAAATTGATGGTACCTGGAAGCTGTGAAGTAGGAGGAGGTCTGTCAAAGATGGTAGCGTTCATTGGTGGTGGTAGTTTAGTCTTCGTGAACCATATCCCACCAGGCTCCTCTGTACCTGGGATCTCCCAGGCAAGAATCCTGGAGTGGGTTGCCATTTCCTTCTCCAGGGGATCTTCCTGACCCAGGGATTAAACCCAGGTCTCCTGTATTGCAGGTAGTCTCCTGCATTTCAGACAGATTCTTTACCAACTGAGCTGCCGGGGAGCCCAGAGTTCATTACCACAACATAATTGAAGAAGGTACTGGAGGAGAGGATGACATCATGAACACAGGTGGAAGGAGGGTTAGCCTTAGCAAGGAGGGATGGATACTTCTTTCTCTGAGAGGGTAGATAAATACTCAGGGGCATTTTGAGGTATAGAGGAGCTTGACAGAGTTCTTAGAATAGAGTTCAGAGCTTGGAGAAAATATTAAGAGCAGTGTTATGTGTACTGTTGAGTAAGGAATTAACTAGAGATTAATGAAGGAAAAGCTGAGCAGCAGTGAGGGCATCTGGTGTGGGCATCATTTTTTTTCCCTCAAAATGAGTGGGCAGAAAAATAATTATGTTTGCATTCAGTAGGAAGAAAAACTAATGTTTCATTTAGATTCTAGCTTGAAGAAATAAAAAGATCTTTTGGGAAATAATGCCAAGTTTTTAAATGACTGAAGGTTAATGGTTACTTCAGGATTATAGATTGATATGCATAGACAGATGTGGTTTTTAGAGAAAAATTTTCCTGTTTTGTTATTAGTGTTTGTTTGTTTTGAAAGGTTATATGCTTATGGAAACGTAATAAAAATTTCAGAAAAACCATGCTCTCTGTATATGGGCTCTGGCAGTGAGCTCTCCCCACATTAGGTGCCCCATCCCAAACCTGCAGGAATTTAACTCTGAATTTCTGCTGAAACTGATACTTGTTGGCAGCCGGGAATGGCGTTGAAATATGGACTTACCAGTAAAAGCTGCCACGGGAAATTGCCAGCTCTTTTTACATCAGCCAACAAATGACCATTTGTTAGAGATCAGCTATGTTAAAGCATTAATAACCTGTCCTAGTTTGAACTGACATCTGAAAGAGAATTGTTAATTCTTTTGACATGTACATACTGTTGAGAGGTTTACTTTCTAAAAACATAGTAAGATTTGCTTAAATGTATTTCACTTGCTTATATTCTAAGAGTTTGGTAATGATACAGGTGGCTGTATCAAGGATTTTTAGATTTTGTACATTTTCCATACTCTTCTTGATACCTGGGTGCTTCTCTATCAGTTCTGCCCCTCCCTCCTCTCCTTTGAAACGACTCACATAGCATGTCTCCAGGAAGCCAACGTTGATTAATTTAACATGACATATTATTCTTTCATTCCTATAGTCTACCCTCTCAGCACCTACTTGAATTCTCAACCCTGCCCCTTTGTGGGGAACATGATATAGAAAATCCCAGAGCCTCCCATCCCCAAGGTACAGGAGAAAGAGCATAGTCTTTGGAGATACCCAAACCTGGGTTCAGACCTTGGCTTTGTCATTCATTAGATATAAACTTTTCCTGAGTCCAATTGTCTCACCTAGAAAATGGTGAGAATACTGTCTGTCCGTGGAGCAGTTGTGGGGATTAAATGAGATAAGGTATGTAAAGCCCTTAGCACAGTAAGTGCTCAGTAAGTCATTACTTCCTTCCCAACCTATAAATTAAACATTAATTTTGCTTAAATGCATTGGAATTGCCTGTGATTCTTTAAAAGGACACAGGGAGCTGAGAAAGCATCTGGGATGCATCAGATGCTGATGAACTGGTGAAGGCCCAGTGAAAACTGAGCTGTTGAATGTTTGTATTTTTCCTGTAACAAGGAGAGCCATATAACTTAGGAGCTGGGAGTGTAGGCTTTGGCAGCAGGAATCTGCTTCCGTACCTAGCTCAGTCACTTACTAGCTGTGTGACCTTGAGCAAGTTGTTTGACCCCTCTTACCCTTATAGGGTTATTTTTAAGATCAAATGAGTCCAGGTATGTGAAGTTCTCAGCATAGTGAGAGCTCAGTAAGTGCTGGTATAGTAACAGCAGCAGCAGCACTTTATTTCCTGAAGTCACTAGGAGTTCTTTCTTGGAATATTAAAATCTAATCCAACTGTAAATCAAGTCCAGCTATCTCAATTTGCTAGTTTTTTTTTTTTTTTTCTCCCTGCTCTTTGATGTTATATATCTAAAGGGAACTGGTTTTTCTAGACTGGAAATTCTTGATTTTTTAAGACTTCAGACCTTTTTTTTTCAAGCAATAAGAGAAAATTTAGATAGAGGCAGAGATGGAATGGCCATTGAGACACAGTCTTTTTAGGGGTTATTTCTGCATCCTAAGTCATAAAAGAAAAATGTTTAGTTTTGAATCTTGTTTTAGTTACTTAATAAAAGGACATGCTATGCTTTAATAGTTTGCCCCCATCCTAGTCTGTGTGTACTGCTGTTTGAACATACCACACCTGGGTGGCTCAAAAACAACAGAAATTTATTCGTCACAGTTCTGGTGACTGGAAGTCCAAGATCAAGGCATCAGCATGGTCACCTTTTTTGAGTAGCCTCTGCCTGGTTCATAGCCAGTGCTTTTTTTGCTGTGGGCCAACATCGTGAAGGGCTCAGGGTCTCTCTGGAGCCTCTTTATGAGGTGTAAATCCCATTCATAAAGGCCCTCCCTACTATCACATTGTTGTTGTTCAGTCGCTAAGTCGTGTCTGATTCTTTGTTACCCCCGTGGACTGCAGCATGCTAGGCCTCCCTGTCCCTGACTACCTCCTGGAGTTTGCCCAAGTTCATGTCCATTGAATCCATGATGCTATCTAACCGTCTCATCTTCTGCTGCTCTCTTCTACTTTTGCTTTCAATCTTTCCCAGCATCAGAGTCTCTTCCAGTAAGCTGGCTCTTTGCATCAGGTGGCCAAAAGTATTGTAGCTTCAGATTCAGCTTGAGTCCTTCCTGTGAATATTCAGAATTGATTTCCTTCAAGATTGACAGGTTTGATCTCCTTGCTGTCCAAGGGACTCTCAAGAGTCTTCTCCAGCATCACAATTTGAAAGCATCTATTTTTGGCGCTCAGCCTTCCTTATGGTTCAACTCTCACATCTGTACATGACTCCTGGAAAGATCATAGCTTTGACTATACGGACCTTTGTCGGCAAACTGATATGTTTGCTTTTTATTGTCTAGGTTTGTCATAGTTTTCCTTCCGTGAAGCAAATGTCTTCTAATTTCATGGCTGCAGTCAATATCCACAGTGGTTTTGGAGCCCAAGAAGAAAAAATTTGTCACAGCTTCTACTTTTTCCCATTCTATTTGCCATAAAGTGATGAGACTGGATACCATGAACTTCGTTTTTTGAATGTTGAGTTTTAAGCCAGCTTTTTCACTTTCCTCTTTCACCCTTATCAGGTGACTCTTTAGTTCCTCTTTACTTTCTGCCATTAGAGTGGTGTCATCTGCATATCTGAGGTTGTTGCTATTTCTCCCAACAATCTTAATTCCAGTTTGTAGATTCATCCAGTCCAGCATTTTGCATGATGTACTCTGCATATAAGTTAAATAAATAGGGTGACAATATACAGCCTTGTTGTACTCCTTTCCCAATTTTGATGCAGTCAGTTGTTACAGATAAGGTTCTAACTGTTATTTTTGGCCCACATACAGGTTTCTCAGGAGACAAGTTAAGATGGTCTGGTATTCCCACCTCTTTAAGAAATTTCCACCCTTTGCTGTATCCACAGTCAAAGGCTTTCATGTAGTCAATGAAACAGAAGTAGATGTTTTTGTGAAATTCCCTTGCTTTCTCTATGATCCAACAAATGTTGGCAATTTGGTCTCTGGTTCCTCTGCCTTTTCTAACCTCAGCTTATACATCTGGAAGTTCTCGATTCAAATACTGCTGAAGCTTAACTTGAAGGATTTTGAGCATAACCTTCTAGCATGGGAAGTTAGTGCAATTGTCCAGTGGTTTGAACATTCTTTAGCACTGCCCTTCTTTGGAATTGGGATGAAAACTGATCTTTTCCGGTCCTTTGGCCACTGATGGTTTTTCCAAATTTGCTGACATCTTGAGTACAGTACTTTAACATCATCTTTTAGGATTTGAAATAGCTCAGCTGGAATTCCATCCTCCACTAGCTTTGTTGGTAGTAATGCTTCCTAAGGCCCACTTGACTTCACACTCCAGGATGTCAGGCTCTAGGTGAGTGACCACACCATTGTGGTTATATGAGTCATTAAGACCTCTTTTGTACAGTTCTTCTGTGTATTCTTGCCACCTCTTCTTAATTTCTTCTGCCTCTGTTGTGTCCTTACTGTTTCTATCCTTTATCATGCTCATCCTTGCATGATATGTGTCTTTGATATCTCCAATTTTCTTGAGGAGAGCCCTAGTCTTACCCATTCTATGGTTTTCCTCTATTTCTTTGCATTGTTTATTGAAGAAGGCCTTCTTATCTCTTCTTACTTTTCTCTGGAGCTCTCCATTCACTTGGTTATATCTTCCCCTTCCTCCTTTGCCTTTTGCTTCTCTTCTTTCTCCAGCTATTTGTAAAGCCTCCTCAGACAACCATTTTGCTTTCTTGCATTTCTTTTTCTTGAGGATGGTTTTGGTCACCACCTCCTGTACAATGTTATGAACCTCTTTCCATAGTTCTTCAGACACTTTGTCTCCCAGATCTAATCCCTTGAATCTTTTCATCACCTCCACTGTATAACCATAAGGGATTTGATTTAGGTCATACCTGAATGGCTTAGTGGTTTTTCCCACTTTCTTTAGTTTAAACCTGAATTTTTCTGTAAGGAGCTGATGATCTGAGCCACAGTCATCTCCAGGTCTTGTTTTTGCTGACTGTATAGAGCTTCTCCATCTTTGGCTGCAAAGAATGCAATGAATCTGATTTTGGTTAGGGCATAGGCTTGGATTACTGTGATGCTGAATGGTTTGCCTTGTAAATAAACTGAGATCATTCTGCTGTTTTTGAGATTGCACTTGTGTGTTGCATTTCAGACTCTTTTGTTGGTTATGAGGGCTACTCCATTTCTTCTAAGGGATCCTTGTCCACAGTGAAAGAAAATAAAGAAAAAGTGTTAGTCAGTCATGTCCAACTCTTTGTGACCCCATGGACTGTATAGCCTGCCAGGCTTCTCTGTCCATGGAATTCTCTAGGCAAGAATACTGGAGTGGGTTGCCATTTCCTTCTCCAGGGGATCTTCCTGACCCAGGGATTAAACCCAGGGTTATCTTTAGATAAGAAGGCCGACTGCACAATCACAATGACTGACTTGGACTTACTGGCTCTGATGACTGGTAAAATGAATCCTCAGATGGTAAGTATGACGGTACTTATATCCTTGTATTAGGTGGATTTTAACCTGTTTCACTTCATCACCTATTTCAGCCTCATCCCATAAAGTGTAAAGTGGTCAAACCCACAAAATTCAGTGTTCCCCAAATATTCACTTAACGAATGACAAATAGTTGTGGAGCTAGCCATGTGTCAGTCACTGCCCTGTGTGCTGAAAATGTCCAGATGAATCAGAAATAGTTCACATGCTCAGGGCATCCACAGTTTGGTATGAGATAGGTCTGCAGAAGGATAAGTGCAACCAAATAGCTGTGGTGCCCTGTCTGGCTTGTGGTCAGAGAGAGTGGAAGAAGGAGATGCCATATCTTCCTGGGCTGTCAGTGAAGGCTTCACAGGGGAAATAATTCTTGGCTTTGTCCTGGGGGTGAGCAGGAGTCATCAGTGCACAGGTGGAGAGTAGGAGTATCCAGAGAGAAGAAAGGACTAGTGGTCACAGAGGCAAGACATTTTACCTTTCGTATCTTTGCCTGTGCTCCTTTTTTGTCTGAGCTGTGATTTCCTTGGCAAACTTCCTATCTTTTAAAATGATCTTAGGGACTTCCCTAGTGGTCCAGTGGCTAAGACTGTGCTTCCAATTAATGGGGCTTGTGTTCGATCCTTGGTCAGGGAACTAGATCTCACATGTTATAACTAAGAGTTTGCATTCTACAATTAAAGATCCCTTATGCTGCAGGTAAGACACAGCGCAGCCAAATAAAATAAATGAATATTAATATAACAAAACAAAATGAACTTAGTTGTTATGTTTAAAGATCTCCTACCACACTGTTGGGGAGCTATAGTCAGTCCCTCTTTTGGGCCACTTGCTGGACCGCTAGCCTAGCACTGTCTCATTACACTAGTGGTGTGCCTGTCTCTTCTCCCAGGAGAGTGTGTGTGTCTCAAGGGAATAAATCACATCTTGTTCATCTTTGTGTCTCCAGAACTTAGCATGATGCCTGGCATTTTAAAATTTTCACAATCACTGGCTTAACTTGTATTTCTCTAACATGTATTTGTGGCTTGTATAGATTTTTCAGGCCCCCAGATTGTCCAGGGTCTTCTTAAATTCTTTATGGGCACAATGTTGAGCAGACTTGATATATGTTATCCCTAGGTAACACAAAGGAAGCTAAGATGCTGCTTTCCATTGTGACCTGATTTTTTGTTGTTGTTGCCTCCACCTAATTTGGGCTTCCCTGGAGGCTCAGACGGTAAAGAATCTGCCTATAATTTGGGAGACCCGGATTCAATCTCTGGGTCAGAAAGACCCCCGGAGAAGGGAACAGCTATCCACTCCAGTATTCTTTCCTGGAGAATCCCATGGACAGAGGAGCCTGGAAGGCGACAGTCCATGAGATCGCAAAGAGTCAGCCAGGACTGAAGCAACTAACACTTTCAGGCTTATTTGTTTTAGGTCTTGTTCCTGTGGTACTCTCATAATTTGAAAGATTGGATAAACGACTAAATCTGACTCTTACTTGTATTCCTTTTAAAAATGCTTATTCTAAGCAACTAAGCACATTTCAACTGGTACATTGACAAGTAAGAGACTTGCATCTATGATGTTTCAGTTGAATACACACCATTGACACTGACATTTGCACCCCCTGAGCCTTCTTCAAAATCTGGACAGAACAGAGGCCATCAGTCTCGGAGCTGGCACGTCCCCCTTCCCACCTACCACTGCTCATGCCACTGTGCACTCCATGCATTTCCTTGGCAGCGTGGTCAAGCTTCACCCTCAGCTACCCTCGTTCTCTCAGTTTATCTGTTTTCCACCCGTTTGGAGAGTGAAGTGTCAGCTTACTTTTCCTGAACACCTGTTAGCACCCAGAGGAATTAAAGATAAAAATGGGAGACCTTTGTGTTAATGTGCTAATGGTCTTCCCTATGCTCAGAAGAGGATTTGACTGGAAACCATTAAACACAGTGGAAATTATAATTTATATGTTTGGCTACAGTTGAAGCACAGCAATATGCTCTTTAGGAGAAAGCACACATGAAAAGCACCTTAGGGCCCAGATTTAAATGATTCTTTTGTTTGGAGTCTCTAAAATGTGAAGACTCATTTTTTCTCTGTAATCGTTATTAAATAAAATGTAATTTCTTCTTTTAATTAAGAAAAGGGAAACGTGGTGAGTTTCTCTGGTAGGAACTACTGGTCCATATTTTTAAAAGACATATGTTAAATATATTGTGTTCTGAGACACTTGACCTTTAAGTCATCAGACAGAAGGCTGTGTGCCATATAGAAAGGAAATATTTCGTTTGTCCAGACAGAGGAGCGGGGGAAAGAAAGGAATTAGTCACCATCACCAGAAGGTGTAGAGAAAGCAGAGCTCAGTGCTTTTCCTACTAGTGAGGCAGAAGAGCTCCTCACTCCTTGATATACTTGTTAGGAAATGAAGACTACCAGCAACTTTTCCTCTATTTTAAGAATTGAGTAAGAAGACTGAGATCATAGCAGAGAAATCATGCTATGTTCCCAATTTTTCTATTTCTTTAAAGTTTTCCTGGGATTTTGTTACATGATAAATTTAGCAAACATCATGTGATCTAATCCCAGGCAGTTGTTAAGTGGAACAAATTGTGGCTCTGCAGTTGGGACTGGTTTGAGTCTCCTTACTGAGCCAAAGATTCACTCAGGCACCTCAGTCTCAGCAGGCTGCCTGGCCTCCCCCTGTAGGGAATACATCTTTATCATGTAGACCAAAAAAGGGAGAAAAATGGTGACATTTCATTGCCTAGATGCATCTGTAATCGAATCCCAAGTTTCTAAGCGTGTTACACATGCGCTTTTCCTCCCTTGGCAGACCCACTGAATGCGTAATGTTTTTAAACAAAATCAGTCTAGTATGAACCCACTCTGCCTAATATTTGAGGAAGAAAGGTAATGGCAGACTCAATTTCTAAGAGAACAGATTTGGGAAAGCTGTGTCTTTTGACTGCTCTGTGTAAAGCGTGACTTTTACAAATTTACCCTTGTGAGGAATCTGGTGCTAAATCTATTCCCGAAAGCCAAGTTTCATATTTTGAAGAAAGTTTAAGAGACTTGGATAAATAAATCATCTTGGGGCTGGACAGTCTAGAAATATTAGCAATCTCAAAACAACAAATAATAAATTTTCTTCCTTCTTCCTCACAGGCCTTCTTTCAAGGCAAATTGAAAATCACTGGCAGTGTGAGTCTGGCTATGAAATGACAAAATCTCCAGCTTCAGCCACAGACAAAGCTAAGTTGAAAAGAACTCCCTTTGCCTACTTTTGAAAATCAAGTTGAGATATATAGATATACATATAATTCATTGTCAGAACTTAGATTGAAACCACATATTGGGAAATAGCATGAAATTTGTTTTTAAATGGGTGTGACCAATCTTGTTTTTCCTAAGCCCTGGGTGAATAGAACCTGATGGTTTACTGCTGCTTTGCTGAATTGCATACAACTGTGCACTGCAAAGTTAATATGGTAATTATGGTTTGAGGTAAAATCGAATTTTAGAATAAAATTAGGAATAGCAAAATCCAAAAACTATGTAAACAAAAGCTCTCATTTTGGTTATAAGTACATTTGAGGATTATTCTGCTGAAGATTCGATTTAAGTTTTCTCTGGGAGAACTCGGGAAGAAACAGAACACCAGTAGCTGGCCAGTATTTAGTGTCATGCACTTAATGACCTCAACCTATTTCCCTGTGACAATTTTTTAAATTCTGTATTGGGAGTTAAAAACAAAACAAAACAAAACTTTAAAATTTTGCATTTCATGCAATCAAGGCAGTATTTTCTTCCCACATTAAAGAAAGATGATCAAAGTTTGGGAGTAAATATCTACTTTTAAATGAGTTTCTTTCTTGAAAAAATTCAGTGTATTAGAATCATAAAATGCTGTTGTGACAAATAATTGAACAAATAAAGTTTGCTTTGAGATGCACAATTTTCAAATTATGCTCTTGTATCACTTTAATTAAATTTGTAAAACTCTCTTTTCTTTGTTATAATTTTCCTTTTCCATATGTTTAGTTTACTAGCCACATTTATCTTCCTAGATTTTCTAATGCTAATGCTATTTATAATAATTCATTAAGATATGGGGTAAAATAAGGCTTTCAGAAGAATGTTTAATAGAAAATTGCTCTTCCTCATCTCCTTTTTTCAAAAAAAATTGTGTATGTTCTTTTTGTTCAGAGTTCTCTAAATGATAGAGAGTAAGAGAAACATTGGAGATTTATAGTCTATATTATCTAGACTACTATTTACTGCTACTTTCCCATAATCAGTCACTACTAGTTCTTGGTTAGGGATGTGCTATGTTGTGGTGGAAAGGGCACTTGACTAGGAGTTAGGAGTCTTGTTTCTCTTAGGCAAATAAATAATGTCTGGCAGTTTCCAACCTGTTAAAATAGGGCATTTAAGATGGTCCCTAAGGCTCCTTCTGCTCTGATAATCCTGTGAGTCTACTCAGAGTCCAGCTGAACTGTTTGGGAGTTATTCAGGTCACACTTTTCTGCTGTTAACACAATTACTTTACCCAAAGATGGGTCAGAGGCAAAAAGCTGGGTGGTTTCAGTTGTTTGTTTAGATGTTTGGCACCTCTACTAATCAAATCAGGACTTCGGATCCCAGGACTTGGCCATTTAACTTTGCATGTTCTGCAAGAAACAGAACAGTGTCTGGGAATGGGGCAGTGTGGTAAATTAAGCCAGTATAAGTTGATTTCAGGTTTCCCAGGTGGCTCAGCAGTAAAGAATTCATCAGCCAATGCCAGAGCTGCAGGAGATGCGGGTCCGATCCCTGGGCCAGGAAGATCCACTGGAAGAGGAAATGGCAACCCACTACAGTATTCTTGCCTGAAGAATCCCATGGACAGAGGAGCCTGGTGGGCTACAGTCCATGGGGTCTCAAAGACTCGTACATGACTGAACAATTGAATAGGAGCACAAGTTGATCTCAAGTCCCAAAAATGAATTCAGAACACAGACTTACTTCCTAATCATGTTGGCTTTTTATTCTGTGAAGAAAAAAACACTTCAAGAAAAAAGTTCCAATAAAATGTCTGATTTACTTGTAGTTTGGATTTGCTGCATTATTCTGCCTCCTGTTGTTCCAGATAACAGGAGATATTTGTTATAGGCTTTAGGATGAACCTGAAAAAAAAGAAAAGAAAAGAAAGCCAAAAACTGGTTCTTGGAGTAGAGATGTACCCACATATAACTGCAATTTATATTATTCAAAAAACTAAGATCATGGCATCCAGTCCCATCATTTCACGGTAAATAGATGGGGAAACAATAGAAACAGTGACAGACTTTATTTTCTTGGGCTCCAAAATCACTGCAGATGGTGACTGCAGCCATGAAATTAAAAGATGCTTGCTCCTTGGAAGAAAAGCTATGACAAACCTAGACAGCATATTAAAAAGCAAAAACATTACTTTGCCGACAAAGGTCTGTCTAGTCAAAGCTATGGTTTTTCCAGTAGTCATATATAGATGTGAGAATTGGACCATAAAGAAAGCTGAGTGCCAAAGAATTGATGTTTTTGAATTGTGGTGTTGGAGAAGACTCTAAAGAGTCCTTTGGAATGTAAGGAGATCCAACCAGTCCATCCTAAAGAAAATCAGTCCTGAATATTCATTGGAAGGACTGATGCTGAAGCTGAAACTCCAAAAATTTGCCCACCTGGTGCAAAGAACTGACTCATTGGAAAAGATCCTGATGCTGGGAAAGGTAGAGGAGGAGAGAGGAGGACAGAGGATGAGATGGTTGGATGGCATCACCAACTTGATGGACATGAGTTTGAACAAGCTCTGGGAGTTGGTAATGAACAGGGAAGCCTGGCATGCTGCAGTCCATGGGATTGCAAATAGTCAGACACGACTGAGCGACTGAAAGCCTGAATGCCCTAGAGTCCATGCTCTGCAACAAGAGAAGTCACAGCAACGAGAAGCCCGTGTACTGCAACTAGAAAGTAGCCCCAGCTGGCCACCACTAGAGAAAAAGCCCAGGCAGCAGCAAAGACCCAGCACAGCCAAAAACTGAACTGAACTGAACTGATATTATAATAGAAACGTGCTTGATAAAAATGTAATAACAGTTTAATTTCTAGAGAAGCATCATTGCTTGGAGGAAAGAGGTTAACTGGCCTGAGTTAAAACTAATGCCATTATTGGTTTCATTACTTGAGCAAGTTGAGCTTCAGTTGTCTGACTTAGAAAGTGGAGATACTATTGACCTCCTAGGATTATTGAGAAGGCAATGGCACCCCACTCCAGTGCTCTTGCCTGGAAAGTCCCATGGACAGAGGAGCCTGGTGGGCTGCAGTCCATGAGGTTGCTAAGAGTCGGACACAACTGAACGACTTCACTTTCACGCATTGGAGAAGGAAATGGCAACCCACTCCAGTGTTCTTAACTGGAGAATCCCAGGGACGGGGGATCCTGGTGGGCTGCCGTCTATGGGATCGCAGAGTCGGACACGATTGAAGTGACTTAGCAGCAGCAGCAGCAGCAGCAGAGAAATAACATGTGAAGTACCTAAATGAATGTTAGGTATACATCCTAGCCATTCTTAATTCTCTTACTGTAAGTGCAAGTTCCCTTTTTCTCCCCACCTTTTGCCTCTGTGATGTGCAATATGATGTCTATAGTTTTGAGAAAAAATTTTATTTATTTATTTTTGGCTGTGCTGGGTCTTTGCTGCTGCCTGGGCTTTTTCTCTAATAGTGATGAGTAGGGGCTACTTTCTAGCTGCAGTACATGTGTTTCTCATTGCCGAGGCTTCCCTTATTGCAGAGCATGGGCTCTAGGGCACGCAGGCTTCAGTAGTTGTAGTGTGTGGGCTCAGTAGTCGTGGTTCACAAGCTCTAGGGCACCGACTCAGTAGTTGAGGCGCATGGGCTTAGTGGCTCTGAGGCATGTGGGATCTTCCTGAACCAGGGATCCAACCATGTCTCCTGCATAGGCAGGCGGATTCTTTAGCACTGAGCCACCAGGGATATGGCTGTAGTTTTTTAAAAATCTTTTCTCATTCGTTCATTCACTGAACAAATATATCTTGAGTGCCTACTGTCTATAGGGTACCACATTAATGGTAATGCTAGTCACTGGAGACAGCAGTGAGCTCCTCCCCTAACAGTGCTTAGAGCCTAGTGGGAGAGATATCAGTCAAAGAATCATTATTACAGACTGATGTATTTTGCAGGAGATGATCAGGGTGCTGTGATGGAGAGTCACAGTGAGGGGCCCCCTTTGAGACAGTGGTTGAGGGAGACATCTCTGAAGATGTAATATTTAAGCTGAGATCTATAGGTTGAGGAATGAACCATGAAAAGAACCATTCAGGAAAGGATGAAAGATGCTTGGCTTGTTCTAGACATTGCAAGAGGGCCAATGTGATGGGATATAGTGACCTGGAAGGACAGCCCCAAGATAATGTTAGATAGGCACACAGGAGCCAGCTATATTGGCATTTGTTCATTAAGGTAAGCCATTTGTGTTTCATTCTTTGTGCAGTTGGAAGCTTTTGAAGGTATAGCGTTACATATATTTATTTCTCACTCATGCTATATATCTGTTTTGCCATTATATCTTGTCTAAAACCTAGTCCAATGGAGCAGCAGCTTCTGTCTGGAGCACTGGGATTGTCAGGACCAAGGAAGTAAAACAGCTGAAGTGCGTGTTGATTCTTAAAAGTACCTTTAAGTGATGCTTACCACTTTTGCTCCGATTTCATTGTCCAAATAATGTTACATGCTCCTAACTTCACAATCTTACCATGTACCAGAAGAAGGGAATGGAGTTGAACTATTTCTGAAGGAAATGATGACCATCACCCAAGGACTCTCAGCAGGGGAATGAAATGATTTAAACTTTCACTGTACTTGCTGTGAGGAGAATGTACTGGGCTACAGGGTTGGAGAATGGAAGGTGGAAGAAGATAGTGTCCTAGACTGGGGTGTCAGTAGTGGAGGTGTTGGTAGATGTGCGAAAGTAGGCAGAGGTAGAGCTGAGGGAACTTGGTGACCAGATGCAGGGGGAAGAATGAATTCCAGTGACTGGCCAGGTGAATGGTGGGCCATGACTGGAATGACAAAGGGCCAGCAGATTTTAGGGACAGTGGTCAAAATAATAAGCTCCAGTTTTGAACTTATTGTTAACATTGAGGTGCCTGAAAATATTTCTTGGCAGAGACACCAAGGAGGCAGCTGGATTTATGAGACTGGAGCTCAGAGGCGAGGTCAGCTTATAGATGCACATTTGGAGGTCTTGAACACTGGGTGGAGTGTAAAGCCACAGGAATGGATGGTGTTGCCTGGGAAGGGGAGAAGTAGGGTTAGATGAAGGCTCGAGGAACTTCAGCTTTTGGAGATCAGGTCAAGGAGGAGGATCTGTCAAGGGGGATGAGAATGAGGGACTAAAGAAGTGGGGGAAAATTTTGTAGGAAGAGAGTATAGCCTAAAAGTGGCAATTGTCAACTGTGTCCTATGCAGGTCAATCAGGATGCTATCTAAAAAGTGTCTACTGGATTAAACTTGGCAACATGGAAGTCACTGGTGATTACTGCAAAATCGGTTTCAGTGCTAGATTAGAACTGGTTTCATAAAGAGCTATGAATAATAAGAACAAAAAAGTTCCATTGGGTAGTGATTTGTTCAGTTTCCAAGTGATTAATAAAGAGCAAGCACATTAGCTAATACTCTTAGTTCTAGATTAGGTCATCTTGCACATGCTGCTTTCTGTGCCCACCCTCATCATCCTCTCCCTCTTGTCCCCCACCTTATGCACTTGGCAAATTCCTTTTCATTCTTTTCGTGTCTTAACTTTCATGAAGTTGTCTCTCTTTGCCACACACACACAAACCCACAAAACAAGCAAGCAAACAGAAAAACCCCCAGAGCTGTAACCATTCCTTCGTAGTAATTTGTTTCCCACCGAACAGAGTTCCTCA